GCTTTTGCTGTTCACTTTGCCCTTTCAGGTTATGTCCCAACTTTTCCCTTTATGTCACATAAACTGCACCAGGCAGAGTTAAAACTCTGTTTCAATATGATGTCAGTATGTCTGTTTGGTCACTGCTGCTCCCAGAGCCAGGTTCGTGAGAAGTACTTGAAGTTTAAACATACGACTTAAATAGTTTTTTGAACCTCATTAAGACTCTAAATACACAGAGATATAAGGCAAATAACCAAGTAATCTGAAACAGGAGGAGTCCTTAGTACCAAATAACCCTTACATTACCTTAACTGTCCATTTTATTTCAAGTCTAAAGAGGAGATTCAAAATGGCAAGATTATCTGGCTTCTTTTTAAATGTTAAAAACACAACAGGAAATCCTTAGCAACAGCAAATCCATTCAACTGAATCACAAGTGAGTGCGGTCATGAGTCCCCACTAACTCAATAAATATACTCCTTTCACAGATTCACATTTCTCCTTACAGAACAGTAATTGAATAGACAGAATTGCAAATGATTGACCAGGATTGCTTACTCATGCATATTCCTCTAGGCAGGAATTGTATTTGATTCATCACTCTGGCCCTGGAGTCTAGCTCATCACTTGTGTAATTGTTGGGTGCCCAGGAGCCAATTCCAAGTCATAGTAGACCTGCCCCACAGGCTGTAACCTTTACAAACCAGCAAAGCAGATCACCAGGTCTTTCTCCCACAGAGCTATTATATAAAAGATGCTGTATCAAAACAATTTGGAGTCAGATCTCTATAGATTTTGTCCTCTGGCTTCAGATTCCTAATTTCTAAAATATGAATCCTAATAATAGCAACTGAGAGCATTGTTATGATAATTAAATGAGTTCATGCCTACAAGATGATTAACTGACACACACATTAGTACATACTCACTCAATAAAAGTTGCTGTTATTTGCATTCTCTTCTGAATTTTGTATTCTCTTCTGAATTTAGCTATAATTCATTGTTTGGGGAAGTTTTGTGGACCTGGTGAAGACATAATCTTTCTTCACCTATAATACAGGAAGAAAAAAGACACATACAATATATACTTTTTAATTGCCAAAGTCTCTGTTATTGTTGTTAAATGCCGTTGAGTTGATTCTAACCTATAGCGACCCTGTATAGGGTTTCCAAGGAGCCACTGGTGAGCATGAACCACAAACCTTGCAGTTTAAATGACTTTGCAGTCTGACGTATTAGCCCACAGAGCCACACCAGGACTGCTTCAAAGTCTCATTGTAGTTGTTAGGTGCCATTGAGTCGGTACCAACTCATAGCGACCTTATGCACAGCAGAACGAAACACTGTCCGATCCTGGGCCAATCACACTATTGTTGCCACACTTGAGTCCATTGATGCTGCCACTTTGCCAATCCATCTCACTGGGGTCTTCCTCTTTTTCTCTGACCCTTCACCTTACCAAACATGATATCCTGCTCTAGCACTGGTCCTTTTCTGACAATATGTCCAAAGTATGAGAGACAAAGCTTGGCCATCTTGGCCTCCAAGGAACACGCTGGCTGCACTTCTTCCAACACAGATCCTGTTGGTTTTCTTGGCAGCCCACGGCATTTTCAATATTCTCCTCCAACACCATAACTCAAAAGCATCGATTCTCCTACGGTCTTCCTTACTCATTGTCCAGCTTTCACATGCATATGAAGTTATTGAAAATACCATCACTTGGGTCAGGTGCACGTTAGTCTTCAAGCTGACATCTTTGCTCTTCAACACTTTAAAAAAGTCTTGTGCAGCAGATTTGCCTAATGCAATATGTCATTTGATTTCTTGACTGCTCCTTCCATGCGTGTTGAAAGTTGATCCAAGAAAAATGAAGCCTTTGACAACTTCAATCTTTTCTCTGTTAATAAGAATGTTGTTTATTAGTCCAGTGGTGAGGATTTTTCTTTTTTTACATTGAAATGCAATCCATACCGAAGGCTGTGCTCTTTGATCTTCATCAGTAAATGTTTTAAGTCCTCTTCACTTTCAGCAAGCAAGATTATATCATCTGCATATTGCAGGTTGTTAATGAGTCTTCCTCCAATCATGATGCCACGTTTTTCTTCATATAACCCAGCTTCTTGGATTATTTGCTAAGCAAACAGATTGAATAAGTATGGTGAAAGAATATAACCCTGTCGCACACCTTTCTTAATTTAAAACCATTCAGTGTTGCCATGTTCTATTCGAACAACTGCCTCTTGGTCCATGTACAGATTCCTCATGAGCACAATTAAGTGTTCAGTAATACTCATACTTCGCTATGTTGTCCATAGCTTGTCTTGATACACACAATTGAAAGCCTTTGTGTAGTCAATAAAGTACAGGTAAACATCTTTCTGACATTCTCTGCTTTCAGCCAAGATTCATCGGACATCAGCAATGATATCCTTTGTTCTACGGCCTCTTCTGAATCCAGCTTGAACCTCTGGAAATTCTCTGTCAATGTATGTTTGTAGCCGTTTCTGTATTACTTTTAGTAAAACTTTACTCACATGGAATATCAAAGAGATTGCCCGATGATTCCCACATTCTGTTGGGTCACCTCTCTTTAGGATGGCCACAAATATGGATCTCTTACAATCAGTTGGCCAGATAGTTGTCTTCCAAATTTTTGGCATAGATGATGAGTGAGTGCCTCCTGTGCTGCCGCACTTTCTTGAAAGATTTCAATTTTTATTCCATCTATTCCTGGTGCCTTGTTCTTTGCCAATTCCTTCAATGCACCTTGGACTTCTTCCTTCCGTATCATTGGCTCTTGATCATATGCTGCCTCTTGAAACAGTTGAACATCAACCATTTCCATTTGGTACAGTGACTCTGTGTATTCATTCCATCTTTTTCTGATGCTTTCTGCATCATTCAATAATTTGCCCAGAGAATCCTTCAATAACAAAAGTCGAGGCTTGAATTTTTTTCTTCAGTTCTCCCAGCTTGAGAAATGCTAAGTGTGTTCTTCCTTTCTGGTTTTCTGACTCCAGATCGTTGCACATTTTGTTGTAGTATTTGGTTTAATCTTCTCGAGCTGATCTTTGGAATTTTCTGTTCAGCTCTTGTGTCTCCTCATTTCTTCCATTTGCTTTAGTATCTCTACTCTGGAGAGCAAATTTCAGTGTCTCTTCTGATATTCATTATGACCTTTTCCTTCTTTCTTGTCTTCTTAATGACTTCTTGCTTTCTACCTGTATGATGTTCTTGATGATATCCCACAACTCTTCTGGTCTTCAGTCTTTAGTGTTTAATGTATCAAATCTGTTCTTCAAATGATCAAAGTCTCTAGATCTCTAAAAATGTGTTTGGTGGGGCCCTTAACGATTCCTATAAGGAACCCTGGTGGGGCAATGATTAAGCCCTTGGCAATTTGCTTCAGTAAAGCTTAGAGAACCCTATGGGGCAATTCTAATGTCTTCTATACAGTTGCTATGAGTCAGAATTGATTTGATGGCACACAAAAGGAATCCCTGCAACCTTTCTGGGCTCCTAAGGTCAAAACTATTTTCACTATGACATTGCTCAATATTAAATGAAATTTAATGGCTGCTTGTTCCAGGTACAATACCTTTCTAAGAATCGTTGTTGTTGTTGTTGTTATGTGCCATCAAGTCAGTCATGACTTATAACAACCCTCATAGGGTTTCTGAGGAGCAGCTTGTAGGGTTGAACTGCCAACCTTGTGGTTCACAGTCCAATGCTAATCCTATAGCACCATACCAGGAGTCCAATTTTCTACGAATAGTTCATCCAGGTGGCCAATTATGTCCCAGACACCAGCGTTGACATCACAATAGACGGTTCTCAAAGTGTTCTAACCTCAAAAACCTCCCATGGAAAACAAACCAAACCAAAAGTCAAAGCCATTGAGTTGATTCCAACTCATAGGGACGATTTAGTTGGGCTGCTAACTGAGTTTGAAACTACTAGCCGTCCCATGGAGAACGATGAGGATTTCTGTTCACATAAAGATTTACAGCCTCAGAAACCTTTTACAGGGTCGTTGTGAGTTGAAACTGACTCCACAGCATATAACCACCACCACCACCAAGTCTTTACAAGAATAGACAGTCTCATCTCTCCCACAAATCACCTGGTGGGTTTGAACTGCTGATCTTGCAGTTAGAGTTAGCATCCAACACCTAACCCACAGTGCCAGCACGGTACCTTAAAGAAAACAATGTTACCGTTTAAAATGTTTCTGGCTTACTATACCAAAACAACCAATTCTCACCAGACAAACTATAACAGAAATGTCTTTGCTTTGTAAGGCCCTCCCTTGATTAAAGACAAAGTGAAAATCCAATCATTATAACTTCCCTACTAGAAATCCCCTATTGTTGTTGTTAAGTGCTGTAGAGTCAGTTCTGACTCATAGTAACCCTATATAGGGTTTCTGAGGAGCAGTTGGTGGGTTTGAACTTTCAACCTAGTGGTTAACAGTCCAATGCTGATCCTACCGTGCCACACCCAGAGCCCTAGCTGCCTTTAAAAACCCTGTACTCACACTGCTAGCGTGAGCTCCTTTTTGGATAGCCCCTATTGTCTAACAGGTCAGTAAAATCGTGTGAATTCTAATGGACTTATTAATTAAATTTCTTCTTTCAGTACACTAACATGTCATTTGCCTCTGTCACTCTCATTATTTCACCTGTGAAAAGTACAGTTTTTCCAGAGATACTGTCATCACAGAACAGCTAATACAATGTATGCTTGGATATTCTTGTGCTTTTGAAATTTCTCAGTTATAATTTATACTACATTAAATGTCTGCAGGTGTAATCTACATTCTTTTGAGATCCTAAAATTTTGTTTTAAGAGTATTAAACAGTCCTGAGACCAAAAAACTTGAGAATCTCTACTTAAGCCAATCTCACGTTAAAGTATTATGCCCTTTCAAAACCTGCCATGGAAAATTACCGAACTCTGTGCTCTGAGACTCTGCCCTTGAAACTGCTCAGCCTCCGTCTTCTTGTATGTTGCAGGCTGTCTGGGTCCAGCATTCCTGGCGAGGACTGGCTGTGGGATCTCGAGAAGCACGGCCATCGACGTTCCATGATCAGAAGAGTCAAGAGGTTCCTGAGTGCCCACGAACACCCCACCAGCCCTAGGCCGAGAAGCTTCGGGAGGCAGACCAGCGACAGCTCCATGTTATTCCCGCCAAGCCCAGCCATGGATCTGCTGGATGTGCCCCGGAGGAACACACACAGGGCCCCACTCAACCGGAAGCAGTCCCACTCTTTGGAAGGGAGCCCCAAGCTGCATTCCAGCATGGGAGAACTGTCCACAATCAGGGAAACGAGCCGGACAAGCACTTTACAGAGCCTGACCCCGCAGTCCAGTGTGAAGGCTTCCCCCACCAAAATGCCACAGGTTCCCGAGGTATTGATAACTGCGGCTGAAGCCGTACCCAACTCAGGTGGCCACCACCATGATTCCACTACTTCCCTCTTGAACTTTGAGTTTACTGGGGTACAGCCAAGCAGTACTGGGCAGCACAATGACCCTGTGGGCTTGATCCTGCCCCCGTCAGAGAACGGTACACCTAGGGGCCTTAGTTCCCAGACTGATCGGGACAAAGCTGAGGGAAATCTATTCAAGTTTGCTTTTGAGGAAGACCCTGATGATAATGACAAGTTCCTAAAAAGGTGGAGCCTCCCAGGTTTCCTGGAGTCCAGCCACACCTCTCTGGCTGGTCTTGATCCCATGAGACCTGAATCTGGTCTTTTACTCAATACAGAAACGTCTTCAGAGAGCAGTGGGATCAACGTTGTGGCCAGCCCTCAAGACTCTCCTGATATGCTGTACTTAATGGAAAACCTGGACACAAAGGAAACAGATATTATAGATGTTCATAATGAGCAAACTGAAGAATCACCCAATGGAAGGCCAGCATGTTCTAGACCTTTGTCCTAGCCTACATTCTAATTTTCACAAAACTCTAACATTAGGCTCAGAATATATCAGGGGCTGGTCAGGGCAATAGATTTTTTTTTTTTTCAATTATCCCACTGTATAAGCTACTTAAAATGTTGAGAGTATTATGATCCTGCCTTTATGAAAACTAAGAATATCATACACATTCACGTCATCCATCACAAAACAGCTTTCATAGAAGTTACACAGGCCACAAGTGATATACCTTAACCAAATAAGGAAACTTAAAAACATGTACATGATGTATATTCATAGACCGGTAGTTAGCTTTGGGAAGAATTTTATAGATTATATAGTCTAACCTCATTTTGCCAATAAGGAAATTGAGACCAGAGGCCTACACACAAAGGATTCTTTCTTTTTCTTTTTTTCAACTATAAAGACAAGGAGATGTATCAGCTAATGCCTCAAAGGCCCCTTCCCAGTAATGATTCTTTGTTTGAGGCTTTCTAATCATCTCACTTCCTAATTCTTAACCTCATCAGCATCAGAATACTTCATTTTTCTTCAGTTTCCTCCTTTATTTTAAGGTCTTTATATTTCTTTCTTTCCCCCTTTATTCTTATCCTTTTCGTTTCCCTTCTCCTTAGTCTTGCTCCTTCTTGAATGACCCCTGCCTATCAGATTATAACATTTCTCTGGCCAACTCTGTTGCTTACTTCTTACGATGCTTAAAAAAAAAAACCATTGGCAAAGTATCCCATAGAAGGTCCATACTGTCTACAAATTCAATTTTACACACCTGCAACCTTGCAAGGGAAGGGGTTTGGAAGTCAATAGTATCCAACTATCCCCTAGGCAGCCATTGCCAGATTTTAGGCTTCCACTCTTTGATTGGAACACTGGAGAAAATGAAACCAAGAGAGCACAATATATATATAACCAAATACTATGGAACCAAAGAATAGTGTGTCTTCAACCTGTCTGACTCCAAATCTGAAGCAAATATCCCACTAATGTCACAACATGGGACCAGTTACAGTGTCTATCAGGTTGTTTGGGACAAGGAAGGAGTTGGGAGATGAAGGGGGTCCAGACTGCTTGATGGGGCTCAGACATTGACTAACTCCCTCCAAGGAACTTTTTGGTCCTGATGGTTTTAGTATCCCAATGGAAGGTTATGTTTCATGAATGTGACTCTATCTCTGTCTTAGGATGAGAACTGGAATACATTTGTTGTTGTAGTCAGGTGCCATCGAGTCGGAACCGACTGACTCATAGTGACCCCATGCACAGCAGAACGAAACAATGTCCGATCCTAGGCCAACCTCACTACGGCTGCCACACTTGATGCCATCAATGATGCCACCTGGCTGATCCATCTCGTTGGGGGTCTTCCTCTTTTTCTCTGACCCTCCACCTTACCCAGCATGACATCCTTCTCCAGCGACTGTTCTTTCCAGACAATGTGTCCAAAGTAGGAGAGACAAAGCTTAGCCATCTTGGCCTCCAAGGAGCACTCTGGTTGTACTTCTTCCAAAACAGATCTATTTGTTCTTTTAGTCCATGGCACTTTCAGTATTCTCCTCCAACACCACAAATCAAAGGCATCAATTCTTCTACAATATAGGCCTTAATAAATAAAATCATAACTACAGCTATTTATTGAATGCTAACAACATTCCAGGAAGCAGCATGTAAAGTTCACAGATAATCTTCACAAGTATAGTATGAGGTGGCTATTCCTACATTTAAGGAGTTCTGGTAGCGTAGTGGTTACAAATCGGGCTGCAAACCTTAAGGTCAGCAGTTCGAAACTACCAACTGTTCTGCGGGAGAAAGATGAGGCTTTCTGCTCTCCTAAAGATTTACAGCCTCAGAAACCCTGTACCGGGTCGCTAGGTGTCGGAACCAACTCCACAGCACATAAACAACAACAACATACCTACATTTAAAAGGTGAGGAAAATGGAGGCTTTGAAGAATAAGATAATTTACCTAAAACTGTATAACCAGAAAACATGTGGATTCAAACCAAGTGTATGTGACTCAAGAACCCATACGCTCCACCACTGTGTTCCCTCTCTGTGGTGCTGTTTGTGAGGTCCTGAGTCTGCCAGTAATTTGTCCAGAATTCCAGAGGCTGCCTCAGGAGAGCCACATCACAGATTCATCACAGGACCTGTGTGGGTCCTCCCAATTTTAGTCTACCAGTGTGTCTATTATGCACTCATGAAGAAGGGCACTGTTCCAATTTTAACCATTTTTTATGAGAGAAGAAAGTTCAAGAGACCCTTCTTTCCCCTTCCCAATTCTTCCTGAAATACAATGTTATAATTAGTACATTTTTACAAGACCTCATATCCAACTGGGCACCCCTGGGTATGATGCAATAACATTTACTTTCACTGGCTTTTCTCAAAGAATTAAAAAGAAAAAATGCTCAAAGAAGTACTATACATGGATAGTTCTCTATATGGGTCAACAGTGTCAGTATCTGGGAAGGACACATTCCTGAAGCATTATGTACACTCTGTGGAATCAAGCCCTAAAATAACACTTCTGAAAGACAGGAAACCTAACTTCTTCCCAGTCACCAGTCTCTTAATGCTATTTTCTTGGGTGGTTCAATTTAAAACCCCCTCCCCCATTCTCTTCTCTTTGGCTCAAAGTCAAATACGTTTACCTGCTTTTGAAATATTTTTTGTCCTTAAACCCAAGGTGATAAATTACACACAACTAGAATCACCATTTTATAGAGGAGTAGGAGATTATTCACTTATCTCTGTTTTCATCCATTCCGTAAGTGCTACTTCTTTTGTATCTCCAGAGAACTACTTAATTTCCTCAATATTTCTTTAAAATCTGAAGTCGATTTCCCATTTTCTCCTTGCTTTGAAAACTGATTAATGATCCATCCACTGGGTATATGCAGTTGAATTCATCTATGAATTCAAGACAGCAATTGCCCAGAACAGATTAAAGAATTCTACATTCATTCTAAAAGTAGGTGTGTGTGTGTTTTACCCTTTGCAGAGCAAAGTTACAAAAATAACATAGTTTCTTCACATTTACCTGATTTCACTGATTTTCTGAGCTCTAGACACTTCTGTCACCTCAACAAATGGTTGGTTGGCCTGGTGGCTTTGTCTTTTTGGTTTGTCAAATGCCAAGAACAGGCTCAGCTCTGTTCTGCATTAAATGGAATCCCCAATCCAGAGAGAATGGTGAGTCCAAGCCCTGTACAAATACGTTGCTTTCTTTACTATCTCCAGAGATAAGTCTACCCTGATAATGGGGCCCAATGTTCAGGTAGGTAGAGACCCACTAAATTTTGTTCTATAAACCAAGAATTTAGGGATAGCTGGACCCTGACAAAATGGAGAAGACTGCAGTCTCCCTCCACTGTGGTTCCATCAACTTCTCTCATCACCTCGACCACGCTAGGCTCTCAGAATCCACTCTCAACCTCAGCTATAGACAACAGTTCAAATAGAATGTAGAAATGCACATTTTACCATTAGCTGAAAGAAAAGACTCACTTTCACATTTATCTCTTTTTCATTGTTTCCTATGGCTTCCTCTTCTAGACAATTTGACTTAACCCACAGTCATGTTTCTAAGATTCCTTATTATAAATCTACTCTGAGATTATGCTGAGCCAGGCAGCCATGTAGTATAGTAGAATGCTTACTACAAGATCAGCATGTCAATTCCCTCTTTGTAGCTTTACGAACTTGAACAGATTCCCATCCTCTCGATCTCATATTTGCATCTGTAAGATGGGCCACCCCTTGCATCATTTCACTGTAAGGAGTCATGAGATAGTTTATATAAAAGGCTGGAAACCCCACTTAGCACCATATGAATCATAGGTGATTGGGGCTTACTGCCCCTGTGGATTTATAAGAACTTGGGGAAAAGGAGTCCACCTGCTCCTCACTTACTATCTCATTATCTGACATAGTCCTTTCCTTTAGTCATCTTGATACTCTTCAGGATCCTAATCTTCATTTGAAATGTTTATTCTAACAATCACAGTATTAAGTTCCCATTTTATTAATCTTGTCATTTCTTTTGGGGCTTCTTTGCTTTTCTCTCTCTCACATGCTTCCCAACTTCTCCCTACCTTCCTTTATCCAGGGTTTTTCATCAATCCTTTCACTTCCCATAATACCCCATGCCTCATCACCATGGTGATGAATTCCTTTTCTAACCTAGCATGTATATCAATCCTTTCCATCAAAATGTGGAACTAGAGAAAATGTAACTACTTTTGTTCTTTCCACTATAAATCCAGAAGCTTTAGAACTGCTGGTTTGGAGTAGAGGACCTTCTTAGGTCATCTAATCTCCCTACACTTGACCCTATATCATCAGTTAATTAGAAATAATAACTAGAACTATATGAATTCTGCAAAGTAGGATTTAATTTTGCCTGCACTTCCTACATCACAACCATCATCTATTTGAGCAATAACACATATTTCTGATGAACAGCAATAACAACCTGGTATTAATAGTACTAATGAAGAATTTTTCACATTTTCTCTTATAGAACTCTCTCAAGCAGTTTCTAAATCCTTTTGTACACTTTCTGTTTTTCTCAAGTAACATTCATGGAAGTAGTAGTCAAGAAAACAATGTATTGCATTGAGCAAATGTGCTACAAAAGCCCTCTTGAAAGTGTTAAAAAAGTAAAGATGCTACTTTGAAAGTAAGGTATGCCTTACTCAAGGCATAGTATTTTTGATCACTTCATATGCATGCAAAGCTTGACAATGAAGAAAAGTTGGTGCATTTCAATTATAGTGTTGAATATATTGAATGTACCATAGAGTGACAAAAGAACAAACAAATCTGTCTTGGAAGAAGTAAAGCTAGAATGTTTCTTAGAAAGGAGGATGGCAAGACTTAATCTTACATACTTGGGACATGTTATCAGGAGGGACCAGTCCCAGAAGAAGCAGACATGGGTGGTAGAGTAAGGATCAGTGAAAAAGAAGAAGACCCTCATTGAGACGCAATGACACCATGGCCC